TGTCAGTTGATAGAGACCACTGTGCAGCATGTGGAGGTGTGTGTGTCCTGAGCACGCCCAGTGCCTGGGCACGCCCATCTGTCCACCGTAAGTTAATAATGAATCTTGATGCCCCCAGCTTCTGTTCATCATCAGCGGGTCTTTTTTGCTCTGTCCACCTTTCTAGCCCACATCCATCACCCTGTTCACTCTCAGCACGTGTTATACTGGTTGAGAGTTTCTGCTCCCTTGTGGGAAGCAGCACAGAGGCCCTTTGCCTATAGCTGTAGATCCCTGGTTTTCAACACTGCCTGGTCACCTACCTTTCCCAGACACATTTGCAAGTCAGTTGGACTCTGCCTTCCATCCTAATCCCTGACCAAAGTGACTTTAAAGATGTATTTTTTAAATTTATATATGTCACACTTATGTATATCTAAGTATATGTAGACCCTATGAAGGCCACGGGAGGGCATCAGATCCACTGGAGTTGTTGGAGTTAACTGTTTCTTTCTTAAGATTTTTCAATTTTATGTGTGTTTTGCCTGTGTGAATATATGTGCATCACATGTGTGCCTGGTGCCTGCAGAGGTCCAAAGAGAATGTCAGGTCCCCTGGAACTAGAGTTATAGGTGGTTGTGACCCACCATGTGGGTGCTGGGAAACCCACCTGGGTTCTCTGCAACAGCATCCAGTGCTCTGAACTATACCATCTCTCCAGCCTCAGTGCGTGGACTTTGTCCAGTGCATAGTATTGTGAGTCCTCTGAGAAAATAGACCAAGTAGTTTCCCTGCCCTGAAAAGTCCCTGGTGAGTCAGCTGGGGCCCCTGTGCTGAGGACCTCCCCCGCCTCTTTCCAGCCAGCTCCCGCCCACTCCCCTGCTCTCAGGACAGGAGGAAGGGCTGGGAACAAGTTGCCTCTGTGCTGTTTTCTGGGCCAGCTTAGCTGTACCACAGTGCTAGCAGCAGTATTAGAATATGCTAGAGGCTTAAGAGCTGCCTGTAGAGTAATAGGAGAGGGTCCCTGGGCTATGTTTGGGGAAAGCCAGGAGGCCGGCACAGCCCCTTTGTTTATTGGGTTTTGTTTGTACGTGGTCTTGAAGATGCTCTTTCCATCTGCATCGAGAACCTGAGGCTCAGGCAGGGGAGGCTGGCAGCCCAGTAAAAGATGAGGAACACCTGGGTATCTTTCATGGCGCCCCATGTTAGTGGTGATGTAGACGGTAGAGGCCTTATACACAGCAGGCCCAGCTTGTGGGTGTCAGGTTCTGATGTGTACACCCAGATCTTTCTGGTGAGGCTGAGATGCCTCTCTCAGAGCAATGCAGATTGCTTTTGTGGCAGACCTTCTAAACAGTGGAATTGGGCACTTATGGTCACAAACGCTACCTCTGGCTCCCAGCTTTTTCTGCCCAAGAACAAGTATACCCTCAGCTCTCTTCCTCTTTTTGAGACACGGTTTACTACCCGGGCTAACCTCAAACTCACTGTGTAGCTGAGGATACCCTTGAACTTGCCATCATCTGCCTCCATTTTGAAAGTCCTGGAATTATAAATACAGCTTCTATACCTAGACTCTCTTCCTTATTTTTTTTTTTTTAATTTTTATTTTATTTTTTGGTTTTTCGTGACAGGGTTTCCCTGTGGTTTTGGAGGTTGTCCTGGAACTAGCTCTTGTAGACCAGGCTGGTCTCGAACTCACAGAGATCCACCTGCCTCTGCCTCCCAAGTGCTGGAATTAAAGGTGTGAGCCACCACTGCCTGGCTCTCTTCCTTATTTAAACACCCTTATCACTATATCGGATCTGTCTGATTATAATCTGAATATTGTGTGGTTACAGAATGCAATCAGAGCCAAGAACAGCATGCCACCAGTTCTGAGGAGACATCTGGAACAGAGGAGGAGGAAGAGGAGTCCAGTGTCATCATGGGGCGATGAGGATGTGAGCCCATTTTTTGACCAACCTTGGAAAAGAAAAGAGGCAGTGGCCCAGCTGCCAGACTGGCTCCTGCATCCCTGCTTGCCTAGGGAGCAGGGGGACCATCCCCTAGACATTTGCAGATTGCCTACTATGTCCTGCCTTGCTGCTCTTGCTAAAGGGGAATGCCTCACCTTCCCCCGGTGTTTGTTCCCTTCTGCTTGAACAGTGATGAGCTCTGGGCTGGTTTCTGTGATGGGAATATTTATCTAGTAAAGAGCAGAAAACCTGTAGGTTTTGTCCACACATGCAAGATGTTAATTACCAAAGCCTCAGAGAAACCATGAAATGACAGAGACTGGGCCTTGAGGTTTGGCAGGTCCTCTTTTGCAGACCTCCTTCCAGATCTACCCAGACACATGGTCTTGGCCCTGGGAAAGGCCTGCACTTTGGGTGCCCAGCCCTGTCCCTTTGTGGAGCAGCAGACTTCAGCACTGAAGAACTGTGCCTGCCCAGCAGCTCCCAAAATGTTTGTGAGCCAACCAGGGCCCTCAGTAGGAGGCTGGGCAGAAGAGAGGCCCCAGGAAGAAACAGGTGATGGATAAAAAGCAGGGAGTGACCAGAGAGATGAGGGAGATGAGACAGGTATCGGCCAAAAGCCTTCCTCTCATCCTTAAGTCAGAGGAGATCTAAGCTGAGGAGGACTGGAGAGGGTGGGGCTCTTAGAGATGGGAAACCCTCCTGTCACCAGGGTTTGGAGGCAGCCAGTTCTCCCACTGAGTGTCCTTGAGTGACTATGGTCCAGACCTGCTGTGTATACTGGTTCAGAATGCACCAGCACCTGTCAGGGAGAAGGGGGGTGACCCAGGACCGCCTTGGTCCTCAGCCATCAGGCCAGTGGGGCAATGGACAGTTTTTGTAGAGCCCTGGCTCTGTGTCTGGACTGTCTGAGTAAAAGGGAGATTAAGAATGTCTTGCACTTTTTGATTTTTTGTTGCTGTTCTTTGGCAGCTCATACATGTTTGTAATGTGCTTTGATCACCTTTACTCCATTCTCTTAGCCCAGAGACTCCCCACCTGCTTTCATGTCTTGCTTTTGGCATGGCATGCTGACTTTTGTTAGGATCGCCTGAATAGGCTTGGGTGGTGGGTAATTTACCAAAACATGGGAACCTCCCCAGTGGCTGTGCCACCAAAGGAAATGGCTCCCTCCCCCTTTCTTTTACTTCTGTAACAGATTCCCTGGACCCACTCTGAACCATGTGACATCTGTGATAACCCCTGTCCCTGTAGCAGTTTGAGTCACATGAGATCTTCATGTGAGTTAGGACTAGCCTGTGGTTTTATGATTTTACCCATCTGTATCAAGGCTCTTGCTTTGAACCTGCAGCCTAGACCTCATGGGCTTTTGCTCTGCTGGGCGAGGGCTGCTGAGGAGGGGGGCTGGACCTAAAAGTCTTTCCCTCTGCTGCCTCAGAGCCAGGGACAAGTCCCTTCCTGCCTCTGCCAGTTTAGTTTGCCTGGCCTAGAGCCGCACTCAACACGTGTCTGGCAGCTTGGAAATGACTAAACAAAAGGATTCCAGGAGGAAGCATCTGGAGAGACATTCCTGGCTAAGGGGTTATCAGTTCTCTAGGTTAGCTGACTCTCGGTCTATCTTCAGACTGTTATTTGTTTGGGGAAATAGAGCAAGTAGGTGGCGTCACTGAGGAAAGTGGCTGATACTGCCAGCCTCCCCCAAAGCCACAAAGAGGAGGATCCTGCCATTATATGCTTGTTGAGGGCTCATGGGTTGAGAGAATCCTGGCAATGAACCCCAGGCCATATATAGCATAAGTGTCTCAGAAAGCCTGGTGAGTGTGGCCATCTCACCCCAAACATGCCTAGTCTCCCCCTCAGAAGCTAAGCACGCTTGTCCTGGTCTCCTCAGGCGGAGCAAACCTTGTCTCTGAAGATCCTGTTTTACCTACAAGGTAGGCCTTTTCATTCACTCTCTTGACAGACATGTGCTAAGCACTGTGTGTGGCAACCTAGTCATTTAGAGTAGAATGTTCTTTGCCCTTCCATTAGATTTCTTTTGGAATTTCCCCAAATAAGATTTCTCTTGTTGAAAATGGTGGGTCCAGGGTTGGGGGGTTGACCCAGCCAGTGTGGCTAGGACCATTGTGGATATGGTGTCCTGGGGAGAGTTGTCTGGTAGCAGCACTTCAGCAGAGGAGGGTACCTGGTTCTGCCAGGGCTGAGAATGTACAGCCCTCCTTGGTGTTTGTGATTAATCTTCATAAAAGATTGCTTTTTTGTGTGTGACAGCATGTGGTTCATGAGCCTATGTGCATACTCTAGATGCCAGAGAGCATCACTGTCATGGGACATCCTGCTCCCTGAGACAGGGTCTCCGAGGCTGGTGGCTGGTAGGCCCCAGCAGTCATCTTCTTTGACCTCCACAGCAGTGGGGTTACAGGCATGCACACCCAGCTTTTTAGTGTGTGTGTGTGGGGGGGGGGTATTTGAATTCAGGTCCTCATGCTTGCACACCAAGCCCTCTTACTGAGCCGTCTCCTCAGCTTTCATAAAATAGAGTTGAGTAAGGCGCTGGGAGATGGCTCAGCAGTTAATAGCACTGACTGCTCTTGCAGAGGACCTGAATTTGGTTCCTAGCACCCACATAGTAACTTGTAACCATCCATTAACTCCAGTTCTTAAGGATCTGGTGCCCTTTTCTGAGTTCCATGAGCACTAGGCATGTTATACACATACATACATGTAGGCAGACAAAATACATAAAATCTAAACAAGTTAAAAAATAGATTTGAGGGCTGGAGAGATGGCTCAGAGGTTAAGAGCCCTGACTGCTCTTCCAGAGGTCCTGAGTTCAATTCCCAGCAACCACATGGTGGCTCACAACCATCCGTAATGAGATCTGGTGCCCTCTTCTGGTGTGGAGATATACATGGAAGCAGAATGTTGTATACCTAATAAATAAATAAAATCTTTAAAAAAAAAAAAAGAAAGAAAGAAAGCAGTGAAATGCTTTAAAAAAAAATAGATTTGAGTAGAGCTGACCCTCATTCAGGGTTTCCTATTGTGAATTGCCTGTTCGCTAACCTGTGTTTGTAGCCCACAAATCCATACTTGGAGTGCTTTTGCAGTACCTGTCAGCATGTGTCCAGATGAGGCAGAAAGAAGCAACCCCACTCCTTGTTTCAGCTCATATAATCGGTCTGCCTAACGGCCAGGGTTGTGTGCCTGTTGGTTCTCTTGGCGGCATTGCTGTTTACAAGATCTCTCCAAGTGTTGTGTTAGGATGCTGAGTAGGGTTCCTTAGAGCCAGGGCCCTTGGTTTTCTCCCTATAATAGTATTTGTCAACATGACGCAAATGACATGCCTGGGAAGAAGGAGCAGAAGTGGAGAATCGCCTCCATCTGGTTGGCCTGGGGACATCTGTGGAGCATTTTCTTGACTGATGACTGATGTTGAAGGGCCCACTCCACTGTGGGCAGTGCCATCCCTGGGCACATGGGCCTGGGCTGTGTAAGAAAAGAAGCTGGATGAGCCAGTAAGCAGCGTCCCTCCATGGTCTCTGCTTCAATCCCTGCCTTGGTTTTCCTTGATGATGGGCTATGAGCTGTGAGCCAAATAAACCGTTCCTTCTCAGGTGAGAGCAACCCAGGAAGGTCAGTGTTTATCACGGCAGCAGAGAAGCAGGACCTGCTCCTTCACTTCCCCCCATGTCACTGTCCCCCGGGAGGGTCAGTGTTTGTCAAGGCAGCAGAAAAGCAAGGACCTGGCCCCTTCATTTCCCCCCATGTCACTGTCCCCCCGGGGAAGGTCCATGTTTATCATGGCAGCAGAGAAGCAAGGACCTGGCCCCTTCACTTCCCCCCATGTCACTGGCCACTGGGATCTTCCTTGCCAAGTTGGCCTCAGTGACCTTATCCACAGTTGTGTACAATCAACATTCCTGACAATGCCTGTCTGCTTCCTGTCTTGTCTTCCTTGCTCAAGTGCCCATGAGTTAGGTGACCCTGCTGTCCTCTGTCCACACCAAGTCCCAAGAGAGCCTGTCTTTGAGTGTCAAGTTAACTGGTACATTCTGAGGCTGGGGTCTCTTCCCCACTAAGATTCCCACATATCTGTGTTCCAGGGTCACTTAATGGTGTCCCAGGGGTGTATGACCGATATCTAAAGCTTACTGTAAGAAAAGGAATCAGTCTAGGCATGTTCTTGCCATGGAAGGAAGCTGTGCCACCATGGACACCCTGCAAAGAGCCATGGGTATTTTAAATTTACTTGTTTACAGCCTTAATCTTTTAGATAAATTGTCAAATTGATTTAAATGAGTACTTTTGTTTTGTTTCTGATATGTTTTGTTTTTTGGGTTTTTTGTTTTGTTTTGTTCTAGAGACAGGGTTTCTCTGTGTAGTTTTGTAGACCAGGCTGTCCTGGAACTCACAGAGATCCGTCTGCCTCTGCCTCCCAAGTGCTGGGACTAAAGGCGTGTGCCACCACCGCCCAGCCTGATACTATGAGTATTTAAAAACCTGAGAAAAAAAACAAATTAAACATGAAGTGTCCATTTACCTTACAGTTTGTGTTACAGTCCATCATCGTAGAGTTGTCAAGGCAGGGACTGAAGAGAGCTATCTCTTCACATCTACAGTCAAGAACATAGGAAGAAATGAACGCATGCTTGCTCACCTGTGCTGAGCTCAGCTTCTCCCCCTGCCTAGGGAATGATCCCACTCACAGTGGGATGGGTCTTCCCACATCAGTTAACTTAAAAACAATTTGGGACTGGAGAAGGCTCTTTCAGAGGACTTGGGTTCGATTTCCAGCACCGACATGTTGGCGCACAACTGTCTGACTCTAGTTCCAGGGAATCTCATGCCTCCTTGTGTCTGAAGCCTGGCATGCACATGGTACACAAACATACATTCAGGCAAACATAATACATGGTGGTGTGAATAAGAATGACTCCCCATAGCTCCCCCCTCAATGTTTGAATGTTCAGTTCCTATCCAGGGGACTATTTAGGAAGGATTAAGAGATGTGGCCTTGTTGGAGGAGTTGTGTTGCTGGGGGTGAGCTTTAAGGTTTCAAAAACCCACACTATTCCCAGTCTCTGCTCTCTCTGCTTCCATCTTGTGGATAAGATGTAAGCTCTCGATACTGCTCCAGCACCCTGCCTGCCTGCCGCCATGTTTCCACCATGATGGCCATGGACTAACCCTCTGAACTTAA